AAAACAAAGGCCCTAAACTTTTCCTACATCACAGCCGCACCTCCTTGCCCTTTTCCCTTCCTTGTCGTGCAAGGGAGAGGGTTCTTTCCTATTTCCTTGCATTAAAACACATTCCTTTTATGTTTTATACCCTTGCCGCACCTATTAGTTAATTTCCCTTAGTTTTCTGATTTGATTTCCTATTTCTAGAAGCTTTTGACTTAAATTCTGTTTACCTAAATAACCTAGGGTTTTAATTCCTGAAATCCTTTAAATAAACTCCCTTTTTGCAACCACAAATGATCCATTCAATCGCCCATTCACGCCAGAAATCATCCACCACTCCTGGACGCATCCATACTTCACCATTCTCCATAGTTTCTTACCCCCAAACACTTCTAGCCTCACCATACTACCATCCTAAACACCATTCCATACTTTTACACCATTCATAACCCCCAAAACCCATCACAAACCCTTGTGTCGCAGCAAAGAGGAAGGAGGAGAGCCCTTGGACGTGCTTGCCATTCGATTTAGGATTGCTGGAGTGTTTAGGTGTTTTCTTTCCTTTGTTTTCAATGTATAAACTTGTTATTCTTTGTGTTGCGATTATGAGGAACTAAACCCTTTTAGTTAGGGGGTGATTCGAAACCATGTTCATGCTTGCAATATGATTTGATTACATCCAGTTGTGTTTTATAAGTTGTGAATTCAATTTACTTATCCGTTCATATAAAAACTGATTTGTGTATGTTGGTTGAGAGTGCACGCTTAATTTTCATGCATGAATTTGATGCTAGAATATAAGGAAGTTTCACCTAATCGTTACGAACTTATATTCACAAGTAGTGAAGGTTGCTAGTCACAATCGCTTTAAGTAAATTCTTGGCATAAGTTTCATGCAATTCATAGTAACGAGTGCCTCGTCAATGCTTATGATTTTCATAGAACTTAATGATTCTTACTTGTATCTCTATTATGCAATTCATGTAGGGAACTTGTGGGGAATGCTTTGGGTTGTCGTATGCAATCATCCAATTCAATAAGTTTTGGAAAATCTGAGAGTTAATTAGTGCAATTCACGGTTAATCTGGGGCGTTGAGAATTCATAGCTTATTGAAAAACAACTGTAAATCGTTTTGTATGGAAGTGTATCCATGTGTGGACAAGAACCTCCTAGCTATCCTTTTATCCATAGTTTTATTCAAATTCGTTCAAACTTTGCTTAGTTTAAAATCTGTTTTTGTTTTGTTTTCAAATTCGTCAAAATCAAATCCCCCATTATTTTAAAGTGTTAGACTAGTTAGAAATCAATTTAGTTTGTGTTTTTAAGTGTTTTGATTTAAGTTATAACCCAAATTCGTCCAAGTTTGTGTTAGAGTTCAAAACTGCCCAGAAAGTGTTTTTAAGGCAATTTTGAGTGTTTTTGTGCTGTTTTGAGTCTTTTGGTTTGTTTTAGTGTTTTTAGACTTTGTTTTACATATTTGAGTCAGTTTAGAGTGTTTAGCAATCCCTCCTAATCCCCGGTTTAAGAACGATCCCTACTTATCCATACTACAATTGTCAACAAGAGGGTTAATTTGTGTGTTTAGTTATTTTACGCATCAATAAACTTAACACCATTATGCAACCAGTTTATGTATCGAATTAAAGATAGTCTCAATCATAGGATTAACTTATCTCACATAAACCCAAAATTACTAGTTTCAACGACGACCAAAATTAGAATAGCAATCACAACATTTTTTTACATTTAATTTGATTCTAATTGGTTCATTATACATCAAACAAATCAACCAAAACTTTAATGATGTCTAGACATCGTAATAATATATCTTGATTAAAATGAGATAATCAAGATCTCTTATATTTTGAAGGAACTTAAGATGATCATCCAACAAATATTTGTATACATAATACATTAAAATCAAATCACTTGCACTAGACAATACCATGTATACTTTTGCCTATTATAACTTTGGTCTAAAACTTTTCTTAAGGTGAAGTGGCCCAAAATAGTAAGGCAAGTAAATTTGATAGTAGAAATCAATTGCATGATTACATTATGCCATATAACAATCTTAACGGTGGAAAAATCCACAAACATTTCCCATATATTCCATCCATACAATTGAATGAGTTACAACACATACTGAATCCTTTCCCTAAACACTGATTGTGGATGATCCCCGCAGCCATGAAAGCCTTAAAAGCACTCTACCAAATCATCAAAAAATATAATAGCATTTGGAAAATTTTATTTGAACCCATATAACCTCTTTTTATACCCAATTTAAACTTTAAACTTGAATTATCTTTTTTACCCTATAACATAATTATCATTAAGTACAAAATAAAATTAACAATAAAACTAAAATTTATTAATAAACCCACACCCAATTTAAGAGCAAGAAGAGCAACCTGGTATGTGCTGAAGTTGGCTTGTGCTGCTACTGAACATATTTTTAAGATAGGTATATGTATATACAAGAGTATTGACTAGTAGCAACAACGTTGTCAACCAGGGGAAACGAGTTCGCCATTGTTGTGCGCTGTGAACCAAGAAATCAGAAGAAATAGGAACTCAAAGGTAGTCTTTAATCTATTGGGCAAATGAATCTTTGGTGGCAATTACATATTTTCAACCTAGTAAGTTTAAAATGTAATGAATTTTACATGGTTTTTAAATGTTTTGAAGGTGTAAAGATAAATTTACATATTGAATTGGGTTGGGAGGGTAATTTAGGTAGTAAATTTGGGTTTAAAGAGATATCAATAGTTTAATTAAAAATAATATGGGTGTAGAGAGTAAATTGGGTTGTAGAAAGAAGTTATATTGGTTCAAACAAAATTCCTCAAAGTCTTTAGATGTTAATCGATTAAATAAAACATACTATATTTTTACGCGCAATCCTACTTGAAAATCAAAAGGAAAACAAAAGGAACCGGTAGATTCATAATTTCTCATCCAAACAGGTTCAATGATCGAAATCGAGAGAAACCAAAGAACCCATACAATACTTTAATTTGAATGACATCTAAATTGAGCTAACTAATAGTGTACAACCATAAAGTATGGTAGCCAAAAGCACAACAGTTGAGTCCAAAGCCTTCTCAAAATTTCAGTCTTTTCCATGAATCAAACTTCACCAAAAACTCTAAAATTAATAGAGCGAAAATTTGGATAAAAAATAAAAAAATAAAAAAAATAAAAAAAAAACAGAAAAAGAAAAAGAGAGAGAAATAAAGAACTGACCAGGGACTGGGAGACTTCTATATAGAGGAGGCCCAAAGGAAACCAGCAACAATTTATATCAATCCGGCCCTTTATCTTCAACCTAAAGAAATTAAAGATAGAAAAAATGTTGTGGAAAATAAAAAGGATTAGGTACCTTAAATCTCCTAACTTTTTAAACATTTTAAAAAGTACCCAACCTATTGGTAATGTCACATCCGTTAAGCCCTAGTTAAATTTCTATTAAATTAACTAGGCGTTACTTTGTCTCCAAAATCAATAGAAAGTCATTGAAGCATAACATTCACCAACTAACAGTCACTACCACCCCCATCAGGCCATTACCTCCAAAGCCAACGCACAACCACCAACTCCACACTATAACTCAAGCTGCCAACATCGAGAAAAAGGTCATGGAGGTTGCTATAATGGTATGGACTACCATGATGCAACAACCATCATCTTCACCGCCCACAAAGAAGAACTGGAAGCTTTACAAACCGAGAATCATAAAGTGAGGAAACTAACTTAGCAGAAACAAGCTCATTGATACCCTATCTGAATTATTAACCATCTTCTTTGTTAGGAGATCTACCTCCTGATATAATTTCAATTTGGGTTCATTTTCGATTCAATTCAATATCCGTTTAATCATTTGGTGTCATATTATATAATCTCAATTGGAAATTTATATTTTGAGGCAGCTAGTATTATTGTTGATCATGATATACCTAGTTAGTGAGTTCTGAATATAAAAGTTGTGATGAGGTTTCAATGGCCATAGGTTCAGCTTTGAGGTGGAGGGGGCTTTGATATTTCTAATTTTATTTATGAATTTGTTTATTTATTTTTATTTTTTTCATCTTCATGTCTTTTATGAAGTTATTTAATTATTATATTAGTGTCCAAGTAAGCTAAAAAGTGAGACCCATTGTTGCCACATGTACATTTAACAGCAAAATAAACTAAGCCTTAATGGATGTAACATTTTCAACAGATTGGATACTTATTTAGAATGTTTAAAAATGTTGAGACCAATTTAAAATGACACTGAAAGGTTAGGAAACTTTAGGTACTTAGTCAAAATAAAAATAAAAGTGCTCTTCAAAATTCAAAGCAAAATTACCTTTTTAAATAGATGAATTGTGCTTATGCAAACTGAATGCTAGTTATTTATGTTCCTATATTTCTAACAGCGGTCCTCCATGGAAGCACCACCTGATGCAAGGAGGAAATCTGATACATTTCCTTTTTTGCTAAGCTGATTAAACCCAGGACCACTTACCGATCCCATGTGGTTGCAATAAATCAGTGATACACAACTGAGAGAAAGGAAAATTCTTTTACTAACCAATTATTTGTTCGGAATTCGATCCCTGATTACTCATGAAAAACAACTCAGCTAATAACTTCACTATTTTCCTCTAATGGTTGAAGCTCTGAGCCATATCATATACAAAATGCATTTTGTTAAACAGAACGAGATTCAAAGTTAACAAATAAACGTAATTACTCTCAAGATTGAGGAGACAACGCTTAAAGATGGAAAATTGTGCTCACATATCCAGTCCATAAAGAGAGAAATTATCGCATGATATATTTATACTAAGAGGTGAGAAAAATAAATTGGTTTCATATTCGTCATTCACAAGATTCAAACTTAAGATTTATGATGTATAAGTAAAAGAAGAATATCATTATATAATACTGGCATGGTACATGCATTGTTGTATCTTCTACTTCATGTATACATTTATCTAGGATTCATCTGTCACATTATCTAGCATTCATGCACGGCAGAACTTTTGGTTTCTCGATCAATTCTCAAATTTTATTTAGAAATATATGTAAGGCTCTCTCATTAAGAGTGCTCTTTTCCACACAAATTCAAGGCATTCTTAGATGAATACAGAGTTATTCTTCAAGTATTTATACTTGAATACGTACTAATTATTCTAGTTGCCTTATGTCCTGCGCCATCATGAGATCAAATTCGGTGTTCCCAACACTTCCATCCACAAATGATTTGATTTCTTTCGTATTGTTTGAGGACTTATTGAGGAAACTTTGGAACCAGTACGTTGAGGATTTTGAGGATCTTTGTAGACTTTCGTAATCTACATAATTGATACCAAATCGAACAGTGTATCCATCATCCCATTCAAAATTATCTAGCACTGACCATGCAAAGTATCCCTTCACATTAGTACCATTTCTGCACACACATAGAAACACATAAAATGCATTGATGCAAACATCAAGTTTAAATAACCATACTCAGTTTTTTTAACAAAAACTTACTTGATTGCTGCTTGAACGTAACATAGGTGACGATTGTAGTAGTCAATTCTATTGGTATCATTAAGGGCTTCGGGTAGTGGTAACGTAGGATCATTGAACTCATCAACCCCTACAATGCAAGGCATTATCATATGTATTTAGTTTTTTATTAAGCGATATAAAATTATTTTTAAATTTAGACTTTACAACACTTAATTGTATTTTAAACCATTACATTATATATAAAAAGGGTAAAGTGCTGATTTAGTATTTAATTATCACCTCAATGAAATTAGGTCATTGAATTATTTTTTTTGGTAAAATAAGTCCCCAAATTCATCAAAAATTGCTAATTTCATCCCTAATATTATATTCAAAGCTATTTTATCCAATCTTTCATTAACTTAAATCACTTGATACACTTTAGAGTGTAATACCGTCATTTTCTCGCCTATAAGCCCTTAATATTCATATAGGTTGTGAATCTAACGCCTAATTTACTCTCCAAAGTTAACTTCTTACACTATTTCTTTAAAAAAATTACTAATCTGCCCTCCAATGTGTATCACATGCAAGTAACATGACTTAAATTGATGGAAAATTGAATATAGGAGCTTTAATCTAATATTAGGTATGTAATTGACATATTTCTATAATTTAAGGACTGATTTTTTTGGAAAAAAATAGTTGAGAGACCTAATTTTCATTCAGGAGATAATTCAAGGACTAAATTGACAATTCACCCTAAAAAATATGAAATATTAATGATGCAAATAAGTTAGGCTTCAAAGTATTAATTACCATTCTCTGTAATGTAAATCAATGGGTCATTATACTTTTCTTTTGTGTACAGTAAAAAATCTTGAATTCCTTTTGGATAAACATATAACCAGTTAGAAGCAGCCTGCATCTCATTAAAAGATGATTGAAATGTTAATTGAGGAGCTAGGTTTATATGTGGATAACAATAAAAAAAATCTTTGGTGCTCTGGAGTGCTCTGGAGTGCTCTGGAGTACTTTGTAATCTGTGTGTTTTGATCCTTAGATCTTAATTTTTATATTTTTATATCAAGATTAACGGTTAAAACAACTGAAATATCAAATACTCTGGAACACCCAAAAAAGTCTTCTTCTTTTATTTTATTTTATTTTAAACAAACGGTATTATCTACACTAAAGGGATGAGATGGGCTTAGCCTCATAATGAGTTAGCAATAATGTGACTCTAATTCACCTTTGGCGAGAATCTAACAGAAAACCTCTCACTTACAAGTGAAGAAGAATACCACTAGATCATAGTACTAAATAGTAACACCCAATAAGGTCTTGGATCACATTATATTACATATCCATATATTAATAGCTCCGACTAATAACTTGATATGTACCTGTGGACCGATGGGGACTCCATCAAGCTCAGCTCCCACAATATGTATGAATATAATCAATATTTTATAACCTAATTATTCTACATACATCATTGATGGCTCCAAATAAGTTTGTAATTCGTACTTACTTGCAACATTAACGCGAGGATCTGTTACATAGCTTGGATTATCAGAACAATTGTAAGATGCATCGCTTGCATATCTAGCAGAATAGTAATTTAGTCCAATAAAATCATATGAGCCACTTAGCAACTCGGATTGTTCTTCCGTAAAACTTGGTAATCGCTCTCCAACAATAGCTCGCATGGTTTGAGGATAGTCACCATGTGTTAGTGGGTCCATAAACCTGAAGAAATATGAAAATTCCAAGCTCAAGATAATACTAGCTAGCTAGTCAATATTACAATTTATAAGCTAAAAGCATTAAATTTTGTTGATCAATTAATTACAGATATACTTGCCATCCAAACATAAAGTCTAAAGCTCGAAGTGCAGCATCTCTATCCCACTGTGTCTCTGAAGCTGGCTCAAACCAGTATGACACCACTGTTATTCCTATTGTTCCATTTTGACATGCCTGCATAAGAAAACTCAAGAATTCGTTTATTTATAGCAAGACAAAAGAATAATCTTTGTTTATCTCATTAGACAAACTATTCCCTTCAATGTTAATTATAATTAAAACTAGTGACTAATATAAAATTCTCAACTAGAACCCCAAAGATTTAGAAAAAGAAATTAGTTAACTAAACCTGGTATTTATCCTTGTACAACTTTACAGCGGTCGCATGAGCAAGGAGTTGATTATGTGTCACAATGTATGGTTCAGTACTCGAATCTCCACCGGTGCAGTTTGGGTTATACCAAGCAGAGCATCGTCCCGGTGCATGGATTCCGATTGCATAACCATGATTACTCACGGTACATGGTTCATTCAACGTGATCCAATGTTTTACTCGATCACCAAACTGGTCAAAACAAAGGTCTGCAAAGTCTTGAAAATCATTGCTGTGGTACGCATTTCCAAACATGTATGTTATCAATCAATATATAATCGTATTTCTTTACTTGCAGGATCAACAATGTGCAAAGGTAAATTTATTCACTTACACAATTCGAGCACTTAAAAAACCACCATATTCGTCTACCAAAGCTTGGGGAACGTCCCAATGAAAGAGCGTCACAAATGGCTTTATACCTATATGTAGTATAATCAGTAGAAGCAACTTAAAAGTTTGATATAAGTGCATGCATGTAGATCTTATCGTACATTACAGTAATGGGACGATATATGAGATAAAATAAGTAGCTGTATCAACCATTGCTTAGGAGTTCATTAGTGAGGTTGTTGTAGTACTCGATGCCCTCCTTGTTAATGCCCCCACTTAGCGTTCCATCTAGTAATTGGAAACAATTTAAAGGAATACTTATCTATAAAGAGAAATTAAACCGAGAAAAATATGTTAAACAATAAAGTGATGATTTGTCCCAATCCAATATATGTATCCGGATCATCAACGTTACTTGGTAACAATCTTGACCATGAGATTGAGAACCTATAAGCATCCATTGACATATTCTTCATAATTTGCACATCGCGGTCCTATAATGACACAAAAGATATAAATAATTATAAGAAAGAACCGAAAAGCTATCCCCTTCAATGTCTTCTGTTGTTGTAAGGTTAAAAAAATTAGTCAGTATGTGATTTTGTAACCTGATAAAGGTGATACTGATCAATAGCGATATCTCCATTGTTGTGATCACTGATTTTTTTCTGCAATTGTCCATATAATATTTTGAAATTTAGAGAATACATATCGCAAAAACCATATCAAGCAAATTATTATATACAGTAAAACCTTTATAAAGTTATAAAGTTGAGACCAAACCAATTTTATAACTTTAGGGAGGTTATTACTTAATAGAGGTGTAGTTAAAATATTATTATATTAACTTATTTATCCTTAATGAATATTAAAAAGTACTTAATGAATGTTACAATCCAAAATGTTTCTAACTTCTCAAGAAACCGTAAACATGTTTGGGAAGTTAGAAGCATTTTGCCCTCAACCAAGAAGTTGTCAATGTTTGCGAAGTATTACGTACCCACAAGCTAAAAACGTGACACCAACCCTAAAAGCTAGAGCATTGTCCCAAGCAACTATAGAGAAATATTTTAGTTCATCTTAAACTTTTATTTGTGACATGACGTACTTATTGACAATTACTACTACATGGAGGCATTTTTCCTTAAGATGGAAACAAGAAAAATTAAACATATAATTACAATGTAGAGTTGATTCCTATACATAACTAGTCCCAAGTTGGGACCAAAATTATAATGACTTTACGAAGGTTATTCCTTTGTAGAGTATTACTTATATAGGTTTTATCTAATAGAGATGAGATACACATGTGTTAATGGACTCTATCTATATTAGAAAGATAGTCAGGCCCGGCCCAGGCCCAGGCCCAGTGCCACAGGGGCAACTGTCCAGGGCCCTAAACTAAAGGGGGCACCAAAAAAATATAACCCAAATAACTAGGTATAAAAAAATAAAAAAATAAAAAAAAAGTCCAGAGCCCAAATAGGGCAAGAGCCTAGGAAAGATGAAAAAAAAGATCCAGGTTTTGGGCGTTACAAAAAAAAAAATGACATTAGAGGGACCACTCGGTGGTCCAGGTTTTGGGCATTATAATCAACCCAAAAAAAAAAAAGAACAAAACGACATTAAAGGGACCACTCGGTCCCCACTAACCCTAACTCCCATAAATCCCCATTTCCCCAACTTCTCCCTGCCATCCTGACCCCCTAACTCCCTTTCACCAGCAAGTTGTTGCAGCACAAGAGGTCCCTGTCCCGCTGTCCTCAGCTCAACGCCAAGCCCATAGGCTACTGCAAGTGCAAGAGCACTCACTCACCACCAACCCTTCCTTTTGTGTTTTGAGGTAAACTAATTTTTAAAATTTGAATTATTAATTCATAATTTCATATAAAATTTTGCAAGTGACATATAATTATATGATAATTGATGTATAGAATTGTTGTTGTTGATGAATTAAATTCTTGACTAATTGAATTATTTGATTTCATTTCAAACCCAATTTTTAGGTTCAATTTTTATAATATGTTAAACTATGTGTTAGTGTTTTTATAATATATAATATGTGTTGGAATGATAATTTTGATAGGAAATTTTTGTTATATCATGTGTCGGTAACTTTTGCAAACAAATTATCGAAGTCATGTCTTTTAGGAAACAATTCTCTAGTAATATGAAAAGGAAAAAAAAAGGCAAAGGATAATGAAATTTCAAGGAGTTTCGCTATGAATGATTGTATATGATTGTATTTTTTATTGTCAGGTTTAGGTACTATGTCCCTCCCCATTGTATATTTTCTCAAGTAATATAATTTGGGCATGAGGGCCTAACCCCCCAACTTCGCCTGGGTTCCAGCCCTCGTTAAATTTTTTTTTTTAAACATATATTTTCGTATTAAAAAATGGCACATTTTGAGCTTTCGCACTGGGCACCCAAAAACTCAGGACCGGCCCTGGAGATAGTACATATGTGATATGAAAAAATATGGTAAGTATAGCATTATTTATTTCCTAATATGCCTCGTCTGTAATATTATCCAAGTGGAATACCGGTGCAATTAATGTATACCAAAAGGTCGTATTATAGAATGGAGGATTCCGTTGGCATGAATAGCAAACATTTTCTCTGTGAACTGGGATGGAGAGGGATTCAAATTTGTATATCTTCCACATTTGGAAGAAAAGAAAAAAATCTACTATATAAGGAAAGGCTAACTTCATGAGTTATTGGCTTGTTTAGAATTAAAAGACGTGAATCTAATAACCGTGCTCCCATAAGAAAAGGCCATGAATGGATTTGGAAATAAACAAATATCAGGGGAAAGAATGACACCTGCAGAGATAGATACGGAGACAGAAAATTTTAATTAAAAAAAAACTAATTGAATGAATTAGCTTAATTTCAATAATTTAACTAACTGTTTATTCGATTAGACAACCTGGATATTGTTGGGTGAAGTTATCCCACACGCTTGGTCCTCTACCACTTTCATTCCAAGCACCTTCTACCTGAAATGTATATGCATACATATATAGGTAAGATGTCAATATTATTGCATGGGTGCTAATTGATCTGACATTATCTATTCTAAATTTGGAGAAATTTTTAGTTGTAACGAGAATACAAGTGGTACACTACGTGTTTTAATAGGATTGATGGGAAATTTTATATTTTAAGTTATTAATTTTTTAGCACACATATCCCGCAATTTGTATAGTGACATGTGATGCACCATCCCGTGTACCGGTCACACTGAAAAATCCCTCCTAGAGTTGAGGATGGATTTGATCAAATTTTTGCCCCTTGATTTTGCTTTATTTACACACGGCTGCCACCAAATTTGTGTTGGGCTGGGGTAATTACTAAAAGTTAGGAGGGTAATATTGTTTGTAGGTTTAGGTGCCCTATGCCTGATTTGGGCATATTTTGGGTTGCTGGTTTTGGGCCAGGTTTAGGCTTCGGAAGTGGGTTGTCCAATGTGTTGGGCTGGGTTACACAGAAAGAGTCGAAACGACTCTTTTGCCCACTTCAATCCAGATCCAACGAGCATGATCTGGAGGCACTTTTGTCATTCTACGTTTAGGGGCGATTGTTGTCGATGTCATCAGAGGCATGGTTCACAGAGGGGTTGATGGGTTGCAGGTAGATAGAGGGTTGACGGGAGGGGTTCCAGGTGGACACAGTGAAATGTCAATGTGGGTTTGACATAATTACTTCTCATCGTGGTCGCACACCTCACCAGAACGTGAATCAATGGTAACGTATAAATTGTATGGATTTTGCACCCATTTTAATCTTTGTTAATGAAATTAGCGTTTAAGTTGAATAATTCATACTCTTTTGATATTGGAAATTAGGCTCTGATTTCTCAGTCTTATGCTTCTTTACTGTATAAGATGAGTTTGGATTATATTACTCAGAAATGGGATTTTTTTTTTCAGTAAGAGAGTGAAAATCCCTAGCCTTTGATGAAATTGAGGTTCCACCATAAAACCAATTGGTAATATGGGGAGCAGCCCAATACCATATAAGCACATAGCAAACCTTGTCCCTCACCGATGTGGGACAACTCTCAACACGCCACTGCACGTGTGACATATTTTCAAGCCTACACGTGGACAACAACTGGATGACGTGGAGCGTGTGTGGCCGTTTGGCTTCACACGAGGACAACCCACTCTGATACCATGATGAAATTGAGGTTTCACCGTAAAACCAATTGGTAATATGGGGAGTAGCCCAAGACCATATAAGCACACAACAAACATTGTCCCTCACCGATGTGGGACAACTCTCAACACGCCCTCGCACGTGTGGCATATTTTCAAGCCTACACGTGGACAACAACTGGATGACGTGGAGCGCGTGTGGCCGTTTAGTTTCACACGAGGACAACCTGCTCTGATACCATGATGAAATTGAGGTTCCACCATAAAACCAATTAGTAATATGGGGAGTAGCCCAAGACCATAGAAGCACATAGCAAACCTTGTCCCTCACCGATGTGAGACAACTCTCAACAACCTTTAGATTTTCAAGTATTTTGTTGGCAATAATAATTTGTTTTTGCAGCTTTATATGTGTTTCTGTCTCCAAATATAAGGATCTCTTAATTTGCTTATGTAGCTTTTGTAATATGATGATCTCTTAATTTGCTTTTCCATATCTTCTTTGCTTCCTCTGCTAGCTCTGTATGTGATTCTATCTCTAAATAATTATTCCATATTTCCTATTTTTATAGGAACCAAATCATTGAATACACATGGAAAATTAAAAGGGTTTTAGTTTTTGGATTGGTTTAATTTTTTTTTTGTTTTTTGTTATTGGTTGTATTGCTGTCAAATATTTGATGGGAAGTTTGAAATGGAGGACTTGGTTGATTGGGAGGGACATAAAGAATCTGACAGCTGCGGACTCTGATTTACTGGCTTCGAAATGGAGAAGTTATTTCTCGGTTCACTTCCACAGCGTAAACCAACTTCTCGGTTCGGTTCTCAAATATGAGGTTTCTCAGCTACCTCTTTTCTGTAATGAAACATTTGAATAGTACTCGCTGGGATATCCAATTAATTAGGTCAGTTTTTGTTTAATTGGGATTCTAAATTTGATATTAGGGATTTTAATTTGATTGGATTTTGGATTGCATTGTACACTAATTCGGGTATCTTTAGCAAAATAGGATCTTTTTTTTAGGATTCTAAAAGTTTAGTTGAACGCTAATATTAAATTTCTAACCCCTGAGGTGCCTCTCTCTATTTGAGCTTGAGTTGGCAATGGTGGACAATGAGCAATTCGGAGATTTATCGCAGTGCAATTTGTCATTTCCACGGACCACCTATAATACTGGCTTACATTTTTCTTCTTTTTTCTTTGCCTATAGTAATATTATTGTTTATTTCCAAGGTCCTGAGTTTGTCATTCAGAAGAGATGCTTCATTCAGAAAATTGAAATTTCCCAAATCTTTGTTAATAGTTGTATCCCTTGCACAAGGATTTAATTTTCTTGGATGTCTACTTTTGAGCTTTAAGTTTTCATGTATGCAGCATTACTAGACCAAGAAAAGCGCACTGTCGTGGAGTAATTAGGACTGTTTCTGTTCCTTTTTTTTTTTAATTTTATTTATGTTGAATTGACAAGTGGTTTTAAAAAATGAAAAATTAATGAAAAATGCTTGAAAATTTTGAGTTTTAACGATAAGGACAAAATAAAGAGTAAAGTGAATAGTATCAGGATTGACTTTTTAGTGTAAAAATGTGGTTTTTCGTTAAAATAAACAATACCAGGAGCTTTTCGTTAAAGTTTTTTTACTGGGTTTAGTTTCTGTGTTTGGTTTAAGAGTAAATTCAGAGAGCTAAAAGGCAGTAAAGTTTGAATATTTACGTTTAATGTTGTTTTGGGTTTGGATTAATTTTGTTTGTTTGATATTAGAAATTGAGTGATAGGGAATTCGCACTTTTTTCCCTTTTGAATAACGTTTAACTCATCTCATTTTCTGTTTGGTTTCCAAGAAAATCGAGGGAAAAAAGGATAGAAGATTAATGAATTCACTGAATTGAGTGCTTTAAGTCCATTTATGATTGAAGTTATTCCCTTTGCTTTCATTTCTGTTTTTGTTCTTTTGGGTTTTGAGCACGTTGAGGATGGTAAAATCAATTATTTTGATTTTGGAAGTCTACTTTGTTTTTCAGCTTTAGTGCTTGGAAGAAGCGAAAATGTGATTTCATGTATGATGGTTGTATTTGTCTGTCATTTGAAAGACATTCAGACAGAGAGAGAAGGGAGAAGGTAGGTTTGTTGTCAGTGAGATTGAAGGATGGTCTGATGTATCCTTGCAGGTGAACTATATGCTCGCTCACCCTCATCCAGTGGAACCTTTAATTGATAGCTGCAGGTTTATCCTAATTCTCACTAAACTGAAGCGTATCTTTATTGAACCTATAACTGATACCTTCTCACTAAACTTGAGAAGGTTGGTTTAAATTCTTTAGATGCCTGTATTGATTTGTGATTTTGTTGGATTTATTCTGGTGAAATGTGTGTTATCTGGATTGTGACTGCGTTCGGGCCATCTTTGTAGTGCATATTTGTGTGCAAATTATTCATGCTTGTTGTGGACAAAGGTTTCAAAAACCGTAGCGAAGCATGGGCAATTTTTCTAGTTAAAACTAAAGTAAACCTAAGTATAATTACATGAGACAGAACTTAAAACAAATTAGAGGGTAAGTGGTTAAGCCGTAGAACGAGCTAATAACCTGGTAAGCTGCTGAAGATGTGCCAAATATGAACCCTGGTACAAGAGAATCAAAGCTGCTTCTGTTAAGAGAGTCACAGACAATGGGTGGATCTGTGTTAGCAGCTTTGCTATTTGTCAGTGCAAAGTCAGTGAGTAGCACAACAAATAAGAACAAAGAGCCCAATTTCATAGCCATAAGTAACTGGAAGGTATTTGGTGATCTAAAGTAGGTTTGCCTCTTCCCTGCATATTGCATGGGGTTTATATAGAGGGGGACGTACGTGCTACACTTGAAAAACTGGATTTATAAATAAACCTATAAAATATGAAGAAAAAAAACATAGTCAAATCACAACAAAATCCTTTAAATCGGGTTTATGGGTTTATAAATAAACCTATAAAATATGAAGAAAAAAAAGTGTATTGAAAAAAGGATTGGAATAAAGGATGAGCATAAAAAAAGGTAATTTCAGCCTATGTCAGACTAAATCACCATAAAAGACTTTTTATTTATCGCAAGGTCAGGACTCAAGAAATTTGTCTATACATAACAATAAATGCCAATAAGACAAATATATGCAATGTCACAATAAAATTCAAATATAAAATAAAATATTTTTCTAAAATTGTCTGAGATAATAATTTCTTCTTTAGAATAGTTGTCATGTCTTTAAGCTTGCCAGTACTTAATAACTCATTAAAATGAACACTATGTTTATAAAGTCAAAATGTTTCTAACTTCTCGATCATGTTTACAGTTTCTTGGCATGAAATTTTTTATATTTCTTAATATCTACATCTTTGACACAATCCAGTATTAATGCAGGAGTTTGATCGATAGATTTTCATTAAGAATAATTAAGTGAAATAAGTTAAGTAAAAACACAATAACTACACAGCTAATAAATTTAATTTGATTCCAACATTACCATAAAAAAATTTAGTACCAAAAAGCTGTGCAAAATTCAAATAGAATTATATATATATGTATTTATATTTAATGCTTCAATCGGCCAAACGTTGCTTGCTTTACATTTTATTTCTCTTCTATTAAATAAGAAAGGGAAAGGGATCCTCTCCGAATTCTTTCCTCCTAATCCACCTAATTAGAGAATCTGTACCGTTAAAATTTGATCCAACAGTTGAAGTTATTATAACTGTTAAAGTTGGCCTCTGTTTGTAGCCGTTTGATCAATTTTCAATGGTACGGATTCCTTGATTTTGTGGATTACGAGAAAGGGATCCGGAGAGGATCCCCTTCCATGAGAAAGCATCCAAACCCCAATAGCGACAGCTACACTCGCATCCCATTCCCACCCCTCCATCATTACCCTAAGCCACATACGCCCTAAATAAAAATAGAGAATATAATTCCACCTCCATGACTTCTTTGGTGAGGAATTTCTTTACCAATAAAGGAGAAAAAGAAGATGAAACAGAAAAAAGGAAAAGGAGAGCTGGTTCTGATTCCTTATGCATTTTCCTCCTTTTCATGAGGTTTTTTACGCTGGACCCGGAGAAAATTAGTTACTTTATTTATACTGGACGGACCGGATGCTTTGATACACGTTTTACACGACGTGATATATACTGATCCTGCTTACGGCTTTTGAAAAATTTCATTGATGGCAAGCACTTGTCCATTGCTCCTTCCTGGCGGGAACTTGTGGCCTTGGGTGAAAAACTTGTTCAATTGTCTAGTAGCCATACAAGCCAACGTGAGATTCTAATTAATCAACGTTTTCAGGCCAGTACAAGTAAAACGTACGATAACTATAATCCGTCTTCTTCAGTATTTTTTGAGGTTCCACCAAAACTATAAAACAATAGAGGGAGTAATTAAACTCTTTATAACCACATGGAAGATCCCTTAATTCCTTGACGTGAAATTTACACAACTACAAAGTTAAATTTTGAATTGGAGCTCGCGTTGAGTTCGCTTTGTCAACTAATTAAGGTTTTAATGATTAATCGTACCTCCTAAACCTAACCAAATAAGGCTCCATAATTTTCTCAACTATTAACTCGGATTGACCAAGTTACTTGTATGTCAAGAACCAATGAGCACATGTTCTTTGACACTCACAACTTACACCATCTACTTATGTTATTATGACACATACATTGAAAAATCTCTCCATCATATTGTACATGCCAATCAATTTGTAAATTTAAAAAATAAATGAGATAGTAGCCAAATTTGCAATAACTCCCACCAGATATGTTCAAACATAATGAGGGGCATTTTAGGATAAAGCAAAGTATATAATATGAGTCATAAAGTAGTAAAAAGAAATTTGCTTAGTTGTATGTCACCACCACATTGATTACAGTTAGATAAGTCTCCCTATCTAGCATTACCCTTTAATTTAGTCTATCTATTACATGAGTCTCGAAAATTAACTTTATCTATTAGTAATTTTTTGATTTAATCTATCTACTACATGAGTCTTAAAACTTAACCTTATCTAACAGTAATTAAAAGAAGTGTGGGCTATTGGGATTCGAAATGTGGCAATAATCAATGTTGTGGTGAGAAATAATATTTCCTAGAAAAAAATAGCTTCAAGGGAATAACTCAAAGTTGCTATTAGTTTTGTTTTAACTGATAAGAAATTGCATTCGTAAACAACTGGCCAGCCAAAAGCCACAAAGGCAATACAAATACAGGAGGGAGTACATAAACAACATCTAAATTATAAGGTAGTTTCCAACCAAATTCACAAAGGACGAAGATACCTTTGTCATAAATTCAACAGGCTCGGATACACCAACAACATAAAGCAAAACTAAAATAAAAAGCCACATGAAGAGACAACAAACTCATAGTAAGTTGTTGCTGCAACTTATTCTTATTCTCATAACGAGTCAAACAGAAAACTAACACTTGAAAAACAACTTGCACAACAACAACTCTGGTGGATTCGTTGTACTTTATTCATCATTTGGGATTCAAACTTGATAGACAAGCATGATGTCCTCAGCTTTATCATCCACAGAAATTTTTATCTTTTTCGTATTTCTTTGGCTCTTCTTCAAGAAAGTTTTGAACCAGTTCGCCGAGCGTTTTGGGTACCTTGTCAGTCCACCTTCATAGTCCACATAGTTGAGACCAAACCGACTGCGATATCCCTCTGCCCATTCAAAATTATCCAGAATTGACCATGCAAAGTATCCCTTTACTTTAGCACCCGATCTGCGCACACACATAGAAAACGAAGAAACCAATGCATTGATATGGATAATTAAATTTAAAAGAATGTAAGAAGGCATATATGTATATTATATATATAGCCTTATTTAATTCCTTAACAAGTACTAACTGAATTGCTGCTTGAAGATGACAAAGGTGGTCACGATAGTAGTTGACTCTTATGGTATCATTAAGTGCTTGCTCAAGTGATAAGCTGCTATTAGTAAACTCATCGACGCCTGCAACATAATGAATTATCATATGCATTGAGTGTTTTTTACTAAATAGAAATTTGCATTTAGTTTTGAGTTTAGACTTTAAAGCACCTAATTATACATAGATACATATGTGAAACGTTGATAATGCAATTAAGGCTTGAAAGCATCGCGCTTACCATTTTCAGTAATATAAATGGCTGGGTCATTATACTTTCTCTTGGTATAAAGCATAAGATCGTGAATTCCTTTTGGATAAATGTATAACCAATCTGAAGCGGCCTACAACACCATTTGAAGATAATTGAAATTCATATGAGTTATAAAAAAAAAAAAAGATATTAATCGTCCAAATACTAAAAATTTTAAGTTCAAATTAAATGTGTACCCGTGGACCAATGGGTTTTCCATTAAGCGCAGCTGTCATAAGAACATATAAATATATATTAGAATCTCATTATTTTAACAACTTAAATAATTGCTTGAAGCAAGTGACCCTCTACCACAGTGGTGGAGAGAAGTGTTACCTTTGCACTACGACGTGGGTTCAAACCATGTCGACTCCCTAATTTAACATCTAATCTAATAAATCTATTGTTTGACAAAAAAAATAATTGCTTGAAATAAGTTTTTAATTTGTACTCACTTGTCTCATTAACATGAGGATCATTTAAGTAGCTTTCAGGGTCAGATGAATTCTTTTGTGGATTGCTTGCATATCTAGCAGAGTAGTAATTGATTCCTATAAAATCATATGACCCGTTTAGAGAATCGGATTGCTCTTTCGTGAAATTAGGTAATCGTGCACCAACATATGTTCGCATGCTCTTTGGATAGTCACCAGTTGTGATCGGGTCCATAAACCTGCAAAATATGCAAATATTCCAAGAATGAACTCATGATATATGGCTCATCTACTTATCCGTAATGGAAATAAAAAGAAAGGGATTACTCTGCGATTACTTGCATGTATGAAATTAAAATTAATAAAATAACTCAATTTCAAGAATTTGATTAACTAGGGGTAGTTAATTCAATTCTCTTTCCTTTTCTCTTATGTTGTCTTCCAAAAAATACCCTCACTATTTTATACTAATTCAAAAATACCTTCACTTTTTATTCTTTAAGAAAATAGGAAAAGAAAATATAAAATTTAAAGAAGAGCAACATCTTATGATCCTCACCATCAGATTATATGGAACTTTTCTTATATATCGGTGGCTTTCAACTTTATATATTGTCAATTTCAATATATATTTTATCTTTATAATTGGACATGAATATTTTGATCTTTATATTTGATACTCTTGTTGCGTACGAAAGAGCTCTTTATTCCATTTTCAAAACTCATATAATTTGCAAAATTGGTTTTATCATAACTTCTGTAGAAATTTGCAAACTGATGTGGTGGGTCACAATGTTAATGCTTTATTTATGCAAGGAATTAGTAATGATGATGTTTTCATTCCGATTCATTAGTGGAACTATTTCATTTTGGATCTGATTCCTTGGTTAGTAAACAATTTAATGGGAATAAGTTCTTCCCATACAAATTACATATTCTCATTCTTAATTTATCTGATTCCTTACTTTCCCAGTAATGATAAGTAAACGAGCCCATAATGTATTGCTAACTATATATTGTATTTGTTATATATATATAGATCAATAATACACTTACCATCCAAACATAAAATCCAAAGCTCGATTTGCGGCATCTATATCATGCTTTGCCTTCGAAGCTGGCTCAAACCAGTGTGTCACCACTGCTAATCCTATTGCACCATTTTGACATGCCTACATAAGAAAATTCAAGATTTTTTTTTATTAAGAAGTAGACAAAAATATCACCTTTGTTTATCTCGATATACGAAGTATTCCTACTTCGTTGTAACTTGATACTAGTGACCCAATATAGTTTTTAATTAAGAACCAATTATTCAGTCTCAAAGACAATAATTAATTAGACCTGATA